TGCACCTATTCATTGAGAAAGGCTTGCGAGGTGGGATCTCCATGGCAACCAAACGATACGCGAAAGCAAATAATCAATACGTGAAGGGCTACGACCCCAGCAAGCCAACCAATCACATTCTCTACCTCGACGCCAACAACCTGTACGGCTGGGCTATGAGCCAGTATCTACCCACAGGGGGGATTCGAATGGGTACCACAGGAGGTCGATGTTATGAGCATCGCACCAGATTCAAACATAGGTTATATCCTCGAGGTTGACTTGGAATACCCCAAGGCATTACACACATCACACAACAGCTACCCCCTGGCCCCCGAACGTATGAGGGTTAACCCAGACTGGATGTCTGAGTACCAACATAACTTGTTAGGCGGGCGGGTGACAGACGTTGAAAAACTCGTGCCCAACTTAACGAATAAGACCAAGTACATCGTTCACTATCGCAACCTACAGCTGTACCTGTCGTTGGGTATGAGGCTGACCAAAATACACAGGGTTCTCGTGTTCAACCAGAGCCCATGGATGGAGCCCTACATCAGAATGAACACAGACCTGCGAAAGCTGGCCACCAGTGACTTTGAGAAAAATCTCTACAAGCTCATGAACAACTCGGTGTTCGGTAAGACTATGGAGAACCTGAGGAAACGCGTGACCGTGAAGCTGGTTCGGTCGAATGAGGAAGACAAGCTCAGGAGACTGATAGCCAGTCCGGCATTCAACCGTAGCAAGATATTCACCGATGACCTAGTTGCCCTACACATGAAGAAAAGCCACATAAAATTCAACCGGCCTGTTTATGTGGGGATGAGCATCCTCGATTTATCCAAACACCTGATGTACGACTTTTACTACAACGAGCTTAAGAAACAGTACGACGACAGGTGTGAAGTGCTGTACACTGACACGGATTCCCTGCTGATGGAGATTCGAACCGAGGACGTGTACGAGGACATGAAAAAACACCTCGATTTGTACGACACCAGCGACTACCCCAAGGACCATGCCATACACAGCACGGTAAATAAAAAGGTCCTAGGTAAGATGAAGGACGAGTGTGCTGGCACACCCATAGCCGAGTACATAGGGTTGAGGCCTAAGATGTACTCCATACTGAAGTCCGACAATAGTGAGATCCGGAAGGCTAAGGGTGTTAAGAAGTACGTGGTGAAACAACACATCAAACACGCCAGATTCAAGGAAGCCCTATTCAAGACCCGTACCTTTAGACATAAAATGAACACACTTAGAAGTGATGGGCATAAGATATACGGACTGACAATAAACAAGACGTCCCTGTCGCCTATGGACACTAAACGTTGGATAGCTATTGATGGGATAAACACGTACGCGTACGGGCATGAGAAAATTGAACCAAGAACATAGATATAGATATCGGGACGACATGTCCCGGAACCAGAGAAAGTTTGAGGCTATTTACTATAGCCCGCGTGGGTACTGGAAAGGAGCTAGCGCTGTAGATAAGCTGGCTAAAATGGCGCGAGTATCCCCGGAGGAGGCCAAAGCGTGGCTTGAAAAACAAGCCCTGTGGCAGATCTATTTGCCGCCACCACGCTACGTGCCTAGAAGGAAGTTTGGTATTAACATACCTAATAGCGTTCACCAGGCAGACCTACTGTTCCTACCCCACGATAGGAGGTACAAGTATGCCTTAACCGTAGTGGACGTAGCCAGTCGCTACAAGGAAGCCGAACCCTTGGCCACGAAAGATTCTGCCCAGGTAGCCAGAGGATTCGAACGCATATACAAACGCAGTCCGCTGACGTGGCCAACAGAGCTGCAAGTTGACCCCGGGCGGGAGTTCATGGGTACCGTGTCACAACTGCTAGCCAAACACGATACAAAGGTCAGGCGTGGCACGGCTGGAGCCCATCGCAGCCAAGCCATAGTTGAGAGATTTAATAGGACTTTAGCTGAGCGTTTATTCGGCCATCAGTATGCGAGGGAGATGGCCACCCCGGGAAAACGATCGACTGAATGGGTCACGAGGTTACCTAAGGTGGTGTCGGCAATCAACCATGAAGTCACCCGTCTCACCGGTAAAAAGCCGGCAGACGCTATCAAACTAAAATCAATAGTGTCAGAGTCAGCCGCTCCATTACGTGGGAAGGAGAAACAGATACCAGACAGGGCCCCAGTGAGATATTTATACCAGCCGGGGGAACACGAGGGTGATAGCCGTAAGCGAGCCACCGATCCTATATGGTCAGTCAAAACTTACAACATAGATAAAGTGGACATGAAAGCAGGCGAGCCTAACTTGTACTACTTGAGGGATGGGCCAGGGAGGGGTTTTGTAAGAAAAGAATTATTGATCGTACCGTACGACACAATGTTACCTCCCGTCAACACAGCATAGTGTCACGTGATCAGGAAAGTGCTCTCAGGATAGACCCGTTAAACCAAGATTGTTCAGCTAAGTCCCCGGTAGCTCAATCGGTTGAGTGGTGCGGCCCATTATGTATAGTTTGCGCGAGCTATACATGTGGGTTCGTATCCCGCCATTGCCTCAGGAGATTCCTTGCAACTTTGTGTGATGTGAGGTGTTTCGGTAAGGAATCAAGATCATATCAGTTGGGTCGCTGAAAAGGGCTTAGCTGAGTGGGGCACTCTCATGGTGAGAGAAAGGCAGCCGGCACAATTCCCCTTGGGAGGAAGCGCAACATCATCTTTCGATTTCACCCTTGGGGAATTGTGGCTGCCGGGGACATTTTACTACTTTTTAGAACCTTTCTACCTTTCTATAGGTATATTAGTGTCATAGCGGCACGTTAGATGGAGCCCAGGATAGACCCGTTAAACCAACACTCTTCACCCATGGCCCCGGTAGCTCAGTCGGTTAAGTGGTGCGGTTAGGAGGTGTAACATTGGGCGTTCGCATCCCGCTAGCGTCCCAAACTTTTTCATAGTAGGGGTAATGGTAGCAAGAGCTAAAGGTCCGACCAAAGCCTTATTTGGGGAATAAGGCTTTGCAGAGGCTTTTGTTGGACCTGGTCCCGGACAATCATTCCCTCTACTACTCCGGACATATTCATCATAAACAAATATATCGATAAAATCTAACTTTGAATCAACTGACAATGCACATATGCTAAAATTATATGCTTCCTCGTGATTGTCATATACAGTCAATTCGCATCAGTTGTTCATACCAGTTGTACATAAAGAAACGTAAACGAGGGACGTTGAGAATGAATATGGTGTTCATTTAGGCATGCTTAGGCTATAGTGCAAGACACTCATTAAAAGTCATAAAGAAGTTAATACACTCTCTCAAAAAAGAAACGCAACCCCTGTTTTTTTTGGTAATGTTTATATCAATTTGAACTGGTTATTACATTTGTATTTTGAAAGATAATGCCATGAAATTTGACATGGTGAACCTGAGGTCAACACGGTATAAGGTAACAGTTAATGCAGGTCAGTATCGAACTCTCAATTTACGCTAGGGGGCGTTGTCTTCAGTATCTCGTTGTAGAGCCACGAGCTCTAATCACAGCAGTGCACCTCCTCGGAACAGAACGAATCAGACGGCGGATGTTTTCCTGGGGGATTGCTCTCCACTCTTCCTGGAGTGCTGCGGCCAGTTCAACCAACGTGTGCGGTTGTGGTGTACGTGCACGAACTCGACGATCCAGCTGGTCCCACAGATGTTCGATAGGATTGATGTCTGGAGGGCCACGACATCACGTTGACGTTTGAATTCTGTAGGAATGCCACTGTTGCACGAGCTGTATGAGGGCGGGCATTGTCATGTTGAAACAACTCCCTCTGTTGGTCGATTATCGGCAGAAGATGTGGCTGTAAGACGTCATCAATGTACCGTTATGCCGTCAAATTGCCACGAACGATGACCAAGTCTGACCGTTGGTTGTAAGACATGGCTCCCCATACCATGATGCTTCCTCCTCCAAATCTGTCGACCTGTCGAACGCAGTTCGGTGCAAAACGTTCATTTGCTCGTCTATAGACACGTTGTCTACCGTCATGTCGTTGAAGAAGAAAACGAGACTCGTCACTAAACCAGACTCTTCTCCAGTTTCTTAGGGTCCATCTCCTTACGTTAGTACACCACCTGAGACGTTGGCGTCGATGTTGGCGTTTCAAGACGGGCCCAACAACTGGTCTTCTTGCACGTAAATTTGCCTCATGTAAACGGTTCCTGATGGTTTGGGCCGATGCTCTCCTCAAACCTGGCACCTGTGTTGCAGTGATGGTGGGTGTGGCATGCCGATTACGTAGGTGGCTGAGTCGAATAAAGCGATCCTGAGCCGGGTGTGGTGATCCTAGGTCTACCGCTCCTGGGACGATCTTCAATTGCATGGAACTGTGTGTAACGATTCCAAAGTCGTGAGATTGTTGTTTTGTGTACGTTTAGATGACGGGCAACTGTTCCAAAGCTTTCCCCGGCCTCAATGCGACCAATGGCAATATTTCGATTTGTTGTACTCAAACGGGGCATTTTCGGACTTGATTTGCAGAGCAAATTATGAGAGAAAAATTACAAACTACGCGTGCTTTTAAAACCCTCTACATGAACTGTGTTTTCAACGATTTGCACGTGCAACAGGCTTTTAGCATTTTGTACATGACAATTTCGCACTTTCTCAAATAACACGGATACAAAGGTCATCATGTGTGACAATGGTTCCGTTTGGGAGCTTATACTGATCAGATGGGAACGTATTAACAGTGTTTTGAAGAAAATTCTAATTTACATTCACCATCTTTATTCTAGAAATAATGTCAGATATTTAGATAGGGGTTGCGTTTCTTTTTTGAGAGAGTGTATAAAACATTTAGTTGTTCATTGGAGCTTTAACTGCTGTCTGTAGGCAGGGTTCCTGAAAAGGTTAGGTTTCAGCAAACCAGCACGTTCCTCTTGGTGAAGGTTGCAGAGGTTGAGACACAACTGAGTTGGTGTGTAACCTTCAAAGTCACCCATTATGATGTCAGAGGTAATGATGCTTCAGTCGTTGGTTTCAGGTGTTCACATAGGGCGAATCTGAAACAGAAACATTACAATATTCATACATAGCACTTGTCCCCAGTATGGTAATACCCAATGCATAAATAATTATGTAGTAGAATGTTTACATGAATTATGAGTTACGAGCGACAGATAGGAGGGGACCTATTCTTTCCTGGACTCCTGCTTGGATATTATCATGCTATGCATTGTTTTGTAGTGCTCTCGTTAACTTCCACATCAGTCATACCTTTGCCTTTGATATCAGCATTCACATACATGGCAGGCTTGTCGAGTTCATAAGCATGTCTTGAGATCTGGTTGATAGTGTTGACAGTGTCTGAAAATAATTATAACTTGCATATAATAACCACAAAATCCATCAGAATGATTTCGAGGGTTTGATAAGATAGGAATGATACTTGCATAGATAATCTATCAGTGCAAATTTAATGATTTCGAGAGCATTATTACGAAGGAATGACACTTTAAGTATGCATTATTTGATTGGCACTTTAGTAGTTGATGGTATTGTCAAAATAAAACCTGCCCACCTCTAGCTTAGGGATCTAGGGATATATACACGTTCGGCTGGATACCTTTAGAAGAATGGAATCCTGTATTTTCATAATTCTTCAGTTCTGTGTAAGTCTGTTTGTCATCCGCGCTATCTTGCAGGCCAGAGTACTGGTTAACATCTGTATTGAAGAAAAACAGACAAGTGCAGACATGAATTAGGCATTATTTAACAACACTGATGCAAGTCATTGGACCCTTTTCATTTTATCATACATGCTTGTACTTTTATATACATCTTACATGTACTTTGAATATTGACATACCTTGGAAATTCACGTGTTCTCCTCTATTTTCGGGGATCCGTGACCTGCAGTAGAAACGACAACACTGTTACAGGGACATGGAATTCACACATACTTACATACACATACATAACCATGTTTGGACTCAGGTGATTGGGGATGTGTCTGAAGAGGAAGAGATCGTATTGATTGGGAAGGCTAATTATAGATGTTAACGTTAATGAGTAAAACTGTATTCGGGTTAACGCAAAAGCTTGCGCGTTTCACGCAAATATATCCACATTTCACGCACGATATTTTCTACCTGCTTGTTCTGCAAAGCATTTTGTGTTCTGGGTAGTTATATTCTAAATTCTCATGATACTGAAATATGACATCGTCTGTTGGTGAACATGGTGAAGTTACCGAAATCCCAAGGTTTATAAACAGCGTCCTCGCCAGATAGTGTGCCGAATCGTTCACACACACGCGCATGCACGCACACACAAACACACACACACACACACCACGATTTTATCTCGTAGTGTGTAACGTCTCCCTGGCGTTTTTTCAAGATGGCGGCACATCCGGTCCTGATAAGCGCCGCCATCTTGGATCAAGATGGCGACCCACGGGACCGGATGTGCCGCCATCTTGGATCAGTCACTTCCGGTCAGGGAGATCACTCGTGTTCCGGTTCCGGTGCTTCCGGTTCCGGTGGGTGCGCACGCATCGCGATGACGTCACGACCGGTTCCGGTGGGTGCGCGCACATGACGATGACGTCACCTCCGGGCCAAGATGGCGGACGCGTTTCAAGATGGCGCCCCATCCGGTGGATCGGGTGAGATCTCGCGGGATCTCGTGGATTCTCGCGGGATCTCGCGAGCGTAGACGCCTTTCAAGATGGCGGAACGGACGAGCGGCGGACGGGACGGGACGGAGAGGGAAGGGAAGGGAAGGAGAGGAAAAGGAGAGGGAAGGGAGGGAGAGAGGGGGTGAGGCGGACACGATGGCGTGGCTAGACAAGTGTTAGTGTGTGTGTGTGTGTGTGTGTGTGTGTGGTTAAAACAACATTGGATGTAGCATTCTTTCGAGCCAGGTGGGTGGCCCTGAAAAGGGCCGTTGGTATGAGTGGGTGAGAGATCACCGTGGTATCTATGGTGGTGATGGTGGTGCACTGGAGGCACTGCTACTGAAATCGTCCATGGGTTCGACAAACTCCAAGATGCGTTGAAGTAGAGAGTACATGGTGTCTATGCGATCTTGAACGAGGAGGACCTTGTCATGGAGTAGAGCCAGTAAATGATGGCTTTCACGTTTACTCACTTTCTTTGGCGGTTCACTTGGCTGGTGGGCGGATGCCGGACGTTTCTGGCCGTTGTTAGAGCAGTTGATACTCTTATGGTCCTCTTCACCACAGTGACGACAGGGATGTGGACAGGCGTAACTGAGATGACCTTCGTTTCTTCCACAGTTGTAGCAGGTGTTGTTATCGTGCTTGTTGTTGTCCTTGGTCTTCTTGGGACATACGTAATAGCGATGACCTTGAGCACCACACTCGGCACAGGTCACCTTGGGACAGTGTAGATAACTGTGGTCATCTGTTTCGCACAGGCGGCAACGGAAGGAGGCGGAGGCGGAGGCGGGAGACGTCTGCATGCTTCCAGTTTCAGTGAGCAACTGATGAGGAGTGCTGGAAAACCTTGAATTTATATAGCTGGGGTTGATGACGTCACTTTGACGCCTCTGGTTCGCACCGGTTGCATCCGGTTCGCACCACTCTCCTCCTGACTCAACAGGCTAGTGTGACGTCATGGGGTATGACATCATTCCTATAAATAACACATGAGCTCATGGTGCGCACTGGCACGACCTATTGTGACGTCATAGGGTGACGTGATGTATATAAACCAGGCTCAGCGTGGCTCTGACCAGTTCTCACCATGTCGTCACCACGAATGAACGAAGATGAACTTGAAGAGGAGCCTGTGCCCTACGAGTTGGAGCGGACGACTCAAAACAACCAAGAAATTCGACTGGTACCCAGCGCCACCACCTGAAGTTCAACCCTGTTTGGCTGCAGCGTCAACAGCCTGAAGACCTTCCCGTCGTTCTCAGAGAACAGTTTGATGCCGTGTTAGCAGATTTGAGAGACGATGTGGGTGGCCAGGATGGTGATCGCTGGATTGGCCCTGGAACACCCCGCCTGGATACAGACATTCGAATCACGTTTCGGCGGATGGGTGACCTCCAGGGGAACACATCATGGGCGAAGTGGAAAAGTACAACAAAGCAAACCACGACTTACATATCGATGACACCATGGACATTTTCTTACTGCATGTAGAGGATCCTGATCGTATCGGTGAGGGACACGGCAGGGCAACACACCTCGCTGGCTTAAACGCTTCCTGGAAAAGAAACAATGCATCGCTCAAATCAAGAATGAGGATCAGCTCTGCTTTGCCTCGTGTTCTGGTCGTGGCCAGTCACCACGAACACCAACCCGATCCTGTGACCAAAGAATGGACCAAGGAATGGAAATACCTGTGTGACCATCGTAAACCAGCGCAACTGAAGGCTGCCAAGGGCTTGTTTCGCCAACTCAAGATCCCCGAAGGTCCTTGTACAGGGCGTCCCACGTGGGAGTTGTTCAGTCAACGTTTGGCCCCTTACTATCAGCTCAAAGTCTACTCCCAAGAGGTGATGAATCGCCTCCTGTACAAGAGTGAAGTGCCTCAACCCACCAAGATCCTTCACCTCTATCATCACCATCACCATTACGATGTCATTACCTCCATGCCTGCCTTCACAGGTTATCCCTACTATTGTGAAACGTGTGACCAAGGCTACGCCCACGCTGAAGATCATCGTTGCACCCGAGAATTTCGATGTTACTGGTGCCAATGTCTTGGATACTGTGGCGACGTGGTCAGGGGAGGACTCTCCTGTCTCCAATGTGGCGGATGGTTCCAAACCCTACCTGCTTTGAACGCCATCGGATGGCCTCCGCCAAGCATCCCAGCACCTGCTCCACCATCCACACCTGTCATCGTTGCTATGCCAAAGTCAACGTGAGGAAAATTCAGGGCATGGCCAACCACCAGTGTGGCACGAATTGGGACTGTAAGATCTGCAAAGAACCCTTGAAACCCAACCACCAGTGTTACATGTCCGTCATCGAACCACCGAAACTAAATGAAGACGGTGAAAAAATGGATGAAGACAAAGAACGGCAACAGCGTCAGTTCATCTTCTACGACTTTGAATGTACCCAAGATCAAGGGACTCATGTTCCCAACTTGTGTGTGGTGCATCTAGGATGTGGAAAATGTATTTCCGAGGCTTCGGATCAGTTGTGTGACAAGTGCCCCTGGCGTAAGGAAGGAGAAGGGCCTAGCCGCATCAAAGTGTTTCGGGGATCGACGACCTTGAAGGACATGGGCGACTGGCTGATGTCCCTGGCGGAAAAGAAAGAGAAGCAGAAGAAGAAACGTAAGGCATCCCAGCAGCAGTCGTCAGGCCGTGCCTCCAAACAACCCAAACTGGTATCACCAGAACCCGATGATGATGATGATGTAGAACAGCAAGACAACGACGACAAAGAACAAGGCTTATTTAAGACGACATTTCTCCTACCCTCGATGATGACGACGCCTTGGTCATTGCTCACAACTACCGTGGGTATGATGGACACTTGCTCCAACAGTACTTCCATCAACATCTCGTGAAAGCACCCCAGGTCACACTTCGAGGGAATCACATCTTGCAAATGACCGTGGGACGTCTGGTTTTCAAGGATTCCCTCAACTTCCTCACGATGGCTCTGAAGCAGTTTCCAAAAACGTTTGCCTTGACGGAACTCAAGAAAGGCTACTTCCCTCACTTCTTCAACACCGAAGCTCACCAAGGCTATGTGGGTCCTTATCCTCCCGTGTCTACTTACGATCCTGACAGCATGTTTTCTGCCGAACGCAAAGCTTTCTTGGCCTGGTACGATGCACGAGTGGCTGAAGGGACTGTCTTTGATCTGGATGAAGAATTGTTGACTTACTGTCAGAGTGATGTGGACATTTTGCGTCGAGGTTGTGCTGCATTCCGCAACATATTCATCCAACAGAACAACGTGGACCCTTTCTATGAAGCAGTGACGCTACCCATGGCTTGCATGCTCACCTTCCGAAAACAGTTTTTGGAACCCCGCACCATCGCCATCCTACCTACTCAAGGTTATCGTCCCCAGCGTCGCTACTCGCTTCAGTGTCTCCACTGGCTCAACTGGGTCATGCATCAACACCCTGGGGTTCACATCCAACATGCTCGGAATGGTGGAGAAGTAGGCTTTGACTGTGCTGACGGAAGTCGTTACATGGCAGATGGCTACGACGCCAAGACACGCACCGTGGTACGAATACTTGGGCTGTTTCTGGCATGGTTGTACTCGCTGTTACAAGACGGACCGATGTGAACGCCATACTAGCTTGGGTACCACCCCTTGGGAACGATACCATCATACCATGTACCGACTGGGTGTGTTACGCCAACATCCCGACATTGGCCAAGTGGTGACCCTCTGGGAATGTGATTTTCTGAAACAACAGAAAGACAACGGTGATCTGAGAGCCTTCCTGACTACCCTGCAAGGACCCCATGCCTACATGCCTGACCCGTTGAATCCTAGAGATGCTTTTGGAGGTCGTACCAACGCCACCAAACTGTACTACGGCCAAAGAAGATGAAGAAATCAAATATGTGGACGTTTGCTCGCTGTACCCTTACATCTGCAAGTATGGGACTTTTCCCGTGGGACACCCCGAGATCAAAGATCATCCTCCCGTGTCTGACTTGTTTGAGCTCCACGGCCTGATCCAGTGTCGAGTCTTGCCACCCACCGACCTCTATCATCCTGTTCTTCCTTACAAGTGTCAAGGCAAACTGCTCTTTCCACTGTGCCGTACGTGTGCTGAAGAGCAGTTGATGCTCCCTGCCCCCACGGGATGAAGACCGGCATGGATCGGTACCTACGCCAGCAAAGAGCTTCAGTTTGCTGTTGAAAAGTGCGGCTATCAAGTGCTTCACATCTT